TAGAGGGCTAGACAGCGTTTGAACATCGCCATGCTAGTCGACATAGGTTTGACAGCTTAAGTTAGAAGATATTTGGTGTCAGACCTGTTAGGGTGATTTTAAAATGAATGATAAAAATAAACGGTTAACGGCAACAACTGTTTCATCCGTTGTCAGTATAATATGACCGGGTGGAATGCTGTCCTGGGTGTTTCCGTCATGGTATTTCAGTGAGATAGCACTATACAGTCGGCATCAGATCTACGCTAACAAAAGGAGGCAAGTACACCAACATACCCTTCCTCCAGCAAAAGACATACAAGGAGGCACATCCTTTAAACGACCTAAGCTGTTTATAGAGCATTTAACAAAATAAAACCAGAAAAAAACAAGAAATAAACCTTCTTAAGTGTTTAGCCGATTTCCATGATATTCCACTTATGTATCCTACACACCCTGAAGGTGTGCACCTGCAATTAATATTTCGATATGGTCATTTTATGGGGGTTGAACCCATTCTCTTATATTTTTACATAAACCTCGTCTGAAGTACTCCTATTTGCTTATTTGACCGATATTTATAATCACCGGTACTTGTGATTTGTTTTGGATTTACACTTTCTCATGGGTTTTATTTTGTTTATTGGGATTGGCATGTTATCAGCGGCTCGGGTAATTTAAAGACATACCTCCCCGTGTGTAATGTATGCAAACAGTGTACTGTAGCAAAACGCCCTTCATTTAGTCCAGCTGGGTATAGGACGCTAAATTCAATAGATCCAAGCCTCAAATATAACAGAATGCAGACATCAATAAGAAGACCTGGATCCGGGATTAGAATTCTGGGTACCCTTTTGATACCCGAGATTAATTACGAAATTATTTCGAAATTGACATCCATATGTTGTTAAATATAGTTGTTGTGCTGATATTTCGTGACTTCATCGAAATATCTGAAAGGTGGTTAATTGGAAAAACATATGTCATAATCATCAAATCAGATATCGCTATTATCACGCTGAGCAAACATTTCAGTTACCTGACATGAACTGTTATAAAAGACTAAGCTTAAATAAGTAGAGGGGCTCTTTCACTTTCTGCCCATCCTTTTACTCGGAATTATGCGGCTAAATGCATATCAGATCAAACATTTTGAACGATGCTGAAAATAAAAATACTTTTATAACACAATTGACATGCAACCATAACGTTTTAAAGGCTACGAATCGAAAAGGTTTGTTCGTTTATGCCATACCGCAGCGTCCGGCGTCCGTCCGTCCGTCAACTTTTCCTTTAAAACGCTACTGGTCCTGATTTTAACTAAATTTGGTCTGGAGTATCCTTAGGCCAAGATGATTCAATTTTGTATAAACGGTGGGTGTGGCCCCCTAGAGGCAAAGGGGCGGGGCCCAACAGGGGAAATAGAGGTAAAACCTTAAAAATCCTTCATCTACCGCAGGGATTAAGGGATTTTATACTAATTTAGTCTGAAGCATCATTGGGCCAAGGGGACTCAATTTGGTATAAATGGTGGGTGTGGCCCCCCAGGGGCTGAGGGACGGGGCCCGTTAAGGGGAAAATAGCAAATTATTTTAAATCCTTCTTCTTCTGTAAGAATGAAAGGATTTCTTCCATATTTGGTCTGAAGCATCCTTGGTTGAAGAGAAACAATTTTATTATAAACCGTGGGTCTGGCCCGCCAGGGGCCTGAGGGGTGGGGCCCAATAGGGGAAACATAGCAAATTATTCTTTAAAATCCTTCTTCTTCTGTAGGAATGAAAAGGGTTTGGTCCATATTTGGTGTGGAGCATCCTTGGGTGAAGGAGAACTAAATTTGTATAAAGAGTGGGTCTGACATCCCATGGGGCTTAGAGGCGAGGCCCAATAGGGGAAATATAGCAAATTATTCTTTAAAATCCTTCTTTTTTCTGTAGGAATGAAAGGATTTGGTCCATATTTGGTGTGGAGCATCCTTGGGTAAAGGGAAACCAATTTTTTAAAAACGGTGGGGGGGACCCCCCTGGGACCTGGGGGGGGGGGGCAATAGGGGAAACAGAAGTAAAACCTGTATAATTCTTCTTCTACCATATTGATTGAGGGATTTTATCCTAATTTTATCTGGAGCATCCTTGGGCAAAAGGAACTCAATTTTGTAGAAACAGCGAGTGTGCCCCCCCCCCTCCTAGGGGCAGAAGGGAGGGCCTAATAGGGGAATCATAGCAAATTCTTCAAATACCTTGTTCTTCTGTACGAATGACAGGATTTTGTCAAAATTTGGTATGAAGCATCATTGTGTGAAGGGGAACCAATATTGTATAAACGGTGTGTCTAACTCCCTGGAGGCAGAGAGGCGGGGCCCAATTGGGCACATAGAGGTAAAACCTTCAAAATCCTTCTTCTACCATAGGGATTAAGGGATTGTATCCTAATTTAGTCTGGAGCATCCTTGGGCCAAGGGGACCCAAATTGTGTATAAGCAGTGGGGCCAGGGGGCAGGAGGGGTAGGGCTCTGTTTGTTCTTGCTATATCTCAAGTACTGGATGGACCTTTCTGAAATTTCATATGTACTTACAGCACCTACCATGGAGTGCTATATCTTTACTTCATACCAATTATTTTTAACATATTCAGGTGAGCGATACAGGCCCTCTGGGCCTCTTGTTATTGTAAAAAAGTCATTTTTAAAATGAAGAAAATAAATATGAGAAATAAATAACATACTATGATATTTATAGCCCCACAGGCGAAGAAATCGCCATGCCGTCCGTCTGTTCATGAATATTGTACGCGCAACTCCTCTTAAACAGTTTATTAATATCTCTTGCAAATGATTTTTTTCGTGGTATTTTCTAATATAATTTTTAAACTTTAAAATTATATAACAGAACACTATTTAAATACAAACTGAACCGATAGTGGTTAATATGCATGAAAAAGCTCAAACAAGATAGCAACAAAGTTTGATATATCAAATACTAATAGATATTTTATCACTAGCTCGGAACTTTGTTCGGCAGGGCGGGGTAACAATAAAGCAACAAGGAATACAAATAAGAAAAATAAGTGTGAATAAAATGAAACGAAATTGATAAAACTAGGGCAAAACATGAGCAAAGGAAACATTTACATAGAGACAATTTGAAAAATACAAGAAATAGACCATGTGTTCTGGACGGGTAAGCGTCTTCTGCTTTATCGACGTCATCAGCCATATTAATCTAAAATTAGATAAATGTAACGTCCTCACACCGAGAACCCGGCAAGACCCCACTTTTGGCCTTAGTGAGGAAGACAATGGATTATGTTAGACCGGGACATACTGAAGTCTTTAAAACAATGTTCTTGTTATTTCCCGATAAACGTTCAGCATTTAGGCTAATTTCAAAAACTTATTATGTACATTGTCAACAACAAACATAAGCTCTGTAGAGCTTTTATTACGACGCCTCAAAGGGAACAAATATTGTTTTCGTGCTGGAGGAAAACCCGAGGGGGAAAACCACCGTGCCAACGGAGGGATAACAACTAACCCTTTCAGACAAAACTCTCTTTTCCGCCACCTTGGGGATCGAGCTGAAATTATTGGGAAGGTGAGAGGTCTAAAGCTCACGCTTGATTGCACACAGAAGGAATGACAGTGTGCGTTAGCGATAACGGCTACCGAGGTACCCGTTTGTCGGAATTATGTGACTGGATGGAAAACTGTGATGGGTGTCTTCGGCCTGATATATCAGTGAGGTAGTCGGGAACACGTCTGTTCTTTCGCAAGGTGGCAAACACTAATATACCCTGCCCTCAGCACACATAAACACATACAAGCATACATGAAACATACGGCGGCACACCAACATATCCTGTTTCCAGCACACAAACACACATGTACGCATCCCAAATATACACGGAGGCACGTCCTTAAATTACCTAAGCTGTTAATAGGACGTTAAACAAAATAAAACCTAACCAAATCATAGCTGTTGATAAGACGTGAAACAAATTAAAACCAAAACAAATCTAATGACGGCATCAGATTCGTACTATCACAAGGAGGAAAACCGAAAAACCTCCTGCACACAATTTTCCAAGTAAAAATAATACGCAAGGAGGCACGTCCTTAAATGCTATAAAGTGTTGAAATATCGTTAAGCCCAAAAAAGGAAAAGTCCCTGTATTTGAAATTTAAATATGTGTGTCGCCGAGTTTGCTTTTTCAAGTGATGGAAAACGAATGAATGAGCTTATCCTATCGTTCCCACCAACATTCACGTAACACAGGAAGACTATAACCAGTCGTTGTGTACAGAATATATGATATCAGATGTGCGTACCTTGTTGGCGAAATGTAAACAAGGCTTCACGAGACAAATGTCTGCATGTTCCGCATACTTCGACGTCGCAGTATCGAAAGGTCGTACTTGGCACGTACGGCCAGAATCGTGTTTCAAATTTTGAATAAGGATACCATTGTCCGCTTACTGTCGAAATGGCAGTTTATTTTAATGGCTTTTTTTTTTACAAATTTTAATGTTTTTAGTAATAACAAAAGCCGGTAACTGTAGCCTACACCCACGTTTCAATGCTTAGGTGTGAAGGTGTTGTGAAGCATTCAACCAAAAAGGGTTTTTAATACATTAACTGAAAACGATAAAATTCCATTAAAATTACAGCTTTATTTCTATCGAAGCAGACAATAGAGGCATGTGTATGTTTTACAAACATTTTCTGTCTTTTTTTTCGCGGGCTATTATATTCATTTACTGTAACAAACATTCCATTTAGTGTTATGTAGTTATTTACCTGACAGTGTTAATTTGACAAAGTAGTGTAACTATCATTAAAATCACATCACATATCCACTGTTCAGTGTAATACCCGTTCATTTATATCGTCACCAATGCTATAACATTCTTTAATAAGTAGTCTATTGAAAAAACGTTATGTTGAATAACAACCCAGATAATTATCTGGTCTTTCCAGCCCACTGATAATCCTTTACACTCAGCACGAGAAAACGTTCGTCCCGGACATATACACACTCATAAGACTTTAGCATGAACGTTGAGTAGGTATTACTTATGTCTGTTCGTTGTGATAAGCTTGTGAGTATACCGATACTGACACTGCGATTGAACATTTCCTAATTTACCTATAACTTCTCTCATAAGAAGAGCTAAAACTGAACAAATTGATAGGACAACGACAGAATATATATTTTTATTCTTTTTGATTTTTTAAACAGAAATTTGTTTCTAGGCTATATGTGAAGACTACCAAATAAAACACTATCTTTGCTCAAGGTACGGTTACTTACTCTGGACGGATCACAAGGTGAACTTTAAAGACTCAACTTGTGCTTACAGGTGCAAGATTTGATTGATATCTAAAACGCTAAGTGGGAAATCCTGACGACAAACCTAAGGTAAATATTTTCACTGGCATATCAATAAGCTAGTCAATTGGTTTTTTTTCAGTGGGATTATATATGTATTTAAAGGTAGACATTATGATAGTTGCAGGAAAAGTCCATCTATGTTTTTTGTGTTAGATGTTGTAATATTTAGATATCTCGTGATAATTGTTGTAAAATGTTAACTTTATATTGTTAAAATGGTGATTATGTTAAAAATCATGTTTATATTTGAAACTTGATGTTTACATTCGAAATCTTGTGACATGTTACTTTATATTATGTAATGCATACACAAAATCTAAATGATGTGATTCTTTTTGACATTTCTCGTGTTTTATGGTACATATCTTGTGATATTTGCAGTAAAAGTCGTTACTTCTTTAGAGTAAAACTTGTGATTCTGTTTTTTTTGTAATTTACATTTGTAACCAGGCTTGTCATTAGCTCTGCGTTTTTTTTATATATATTACGACCTCTTAACATCTTAGGTCATTTAAGGACGTACCTTCATGTTTATTGTGTATGTGTACTGAAGGCAAGGTATTTTGGTGTGAAAAGTTTATTTAAACTATAAATTGCATTGCTGATACTATATAGTAATCGCTTATTCTAGTGCAAAATGTTAAATGGGACACATTAAATTCTAGATGTGCATTACATCTAATTTTTACGATCCTAAATATTATTTTTTTGTATCCTTATTTGTTATTCATGACTTGTGAGTTAATATATATATACTTGTTTCTTGTTAGCTCGCCTGCCCGAAGAGCTAAAACGTTATTCTTCCGAATAACCAAGAGGCCTAGGAAGATTATATATGGCTAGTAATATGCTGGGATAATGGGCTACCAAGTTTGTCTGTGTGGTGATGTATTTCTGTCCTAAGCTGACCTGGCCCGAAGGACCAAGTGAGCTTATGCCGTGATGCGGCGTCCGGCGTCAATATTTTAATTGAAACTTCTTCTTAAAAACCAAAAGGCTAAGCGTGATAATGTTTGGCCAAACGCAAACAGGGATTAAGGGCAACCAAGTTTGTTCAAATAAATGACCTTCACCCATATTCAAGGTCACATGGGTGAAATATGTAAAAAAAAATCTTAATAACCAAAATACTCAGGGTGATGATATTTGACCAGTAGCATACTGGGATGAAGGGCTACTAAGTTTGTTCAAATGAATGACCTTCACTCATATGTAAGGTCACCTGGGTCATTTCTCTTAAAATTTTACACAACTCCTTCTGAATAACCAAAAGGACCAGGATGTCAATATTTGGTCAGTAGCATGCTGCGATGAAGCGCTACCAAATTTGTTCAAATAAATTACCTTGACTAATATTCAAGGTCATAGGGATCAAATATGTTTAAAACCTTTATACAACTTCTTCTCAATAACCAAAAGGCCTAGGATGATGATTTTTGGCCAAGAGCATGCTAAGATGAAGAGCTAACAAGTTAGTTCAAACGAATGACATTGACTTATATTCAAGTTCACAGGGGTCAAATATGTTTTTAAAACCTTTAAACAACTTCTCAATAACCAAAAGGCCTAGAATGTTGATATTTGCCCAATAGCATGCTGGGATAAAGTGCTACCAAGTTTGTTCAAACGAATGACCGTCACCCATATTCAAGGTCACAGGGGTCAAATATGTTTAAAACCTTATATCGACTAATTCTGAATAACCAAAAGGTCCAGGATGATGATATTTGGCCAGAAGCATGCTGGGGTGGAAGGCTATAAACCCTGTTCAACTTTATACCCTTGTTTTGAATGACTGAGTCAAGACACTGATATTTTTTTTGTAGCTTTATTTTAGTTTACTTTAAGGTTACAAATGTGAGATTAATACCAGGTGAGCGATGCAGGTCCACTGGCCCTCTTGTTATTGTTTTGCAATTTATTTATCTGTATGCCCCTCCGCAACGAAATAAGGAGTGTTCTGAAATCAGATTGCTTTTTTGACTGTCCTGAAGATTCCGAAGCTAAAAGAAACGATTTCATCTAAACTTTCAATTCATGATCTAGTCATTATCTATTTTGAGTAATGCTATTTATGGAATATATATGTGCGTGGCGGTTTGGTCATTTTGTTTTTACTTTGGGTGACGTGACTATTTTGGTTTTGTGACGATGTGGTACATTTTGTTTGTGTATGTTATGGTTTCTCTTTATGTAACACTGTGGTAGTCCGCCCTTGTCTGCTGATGCTGTAGTCAATTGTCCTATAATGTGTATGCTGTGGTCAATTGTCCTATAATGTGTATGCTGTGGTCAATCGTCCTATAATGTGTATGCTGTGGTCAATTGTCCTATAGTGTGTATGTTGTGGTATAGTTTGTCCTATAGTGTGTATGTTGTGGTACAGTTTGTCCTATAGTGTGTACGCTGTGGTATAGTTTGTCCTATAGTGTGTACGCTGTAGTATTGTTTTTCCTATAGTTTGTACGCTGTTGTACAGGTTGTCCTATAGTGTGTACGCTGTGGTAAAGTTTGTAAATAGTGTGTACGCTGTGGTATAGTTTGACCTTCTGAGATGACGCTTTCGTCTGTGTTGATACTGCGGTTTGTAAACTTTATTAAAAGGACAAGGCAGACGTTCATTCACCTTCTAATGATTGAAGTTAGTATGAGTGAATAAATGGCTTCCAGGGGAATTGTACTCTTCTATTATCAATAAAGGGAGCGTTTTAACTCTGACACATTTCTGAGAAATTAAACCATATCCTTAGGCGATGGAGATGATGATGTGTTACCTAAACGCGATGTAGTAATTCATTTTGTCATTCTGTTCTTGGTTAAAAGGGTGAAACATTTTGATTATTCTGTTATTGTTAATTTGAGTGGGGGAGGGGGGGGGGGGTCATGACATGTGTTCTTTCAACGTCTTATTGTTTATCGTTATTGCCTTCCTATCTACTTCCGATTTGTGTGTGTTTTACGATTATAATGATATACAAACCTTATGCATATAAGAGGGATTCATCGATTTTGACTTCTCGTCGTTCAAAATAATAATTTTTATTGAATTAAATGGCCAAAAATGCAAATAATCGTTTATGGAGCATGTCTTAAAAACCTTTAAAGACAATTTTATAAACTTTTATATGTAAACAAATCTAGTGGTCTTACTGTGCCGTCAGTTATAAATGTGTTTTCGATATGTCATGTTACCGCAAAAACAAATAGGCATATCTCGAAAACCATTCAGTATTTAATTCTCAAAACTTTCAATTCACGAAGCTGTTACACCATGGTGTTTTCCCTATTACCGCTGTTAAAAAAAAGAACATTCACGTATAAATTACAAAATCACATTTTAAGTATTTTGTTTTTAATCACTTATAAACCGTAGTCTTGCCTACATATTGGCAGCTCCCGTTTGTTCCATTTGAAATTAATCTAGATGCTTTTGTCCTTGAACGTAAATGAACGTTTACTGCCCTGGCTAATGTGAGTGATTTTTAACCATGGTTGACAATATAAATCATGATTAACCATGGCTGTACAACCATGGCTTTCACAAAACATAACCAGGGTCAACCATGGTTTGACAGTTCCGTGAAGTGGGCAACAATGCCAACTGGTCAAATCGCTCAATAAACCGTAGTCTAACCATGAATGTGACCATAGTCAACCCATGCTGTTACCATATCAAACAATGGGTGATGATGTTTATGAACGTCAAACATGGCTTAACAATGATCAGTCATTTCCTCTGGTGGTTCGGTAATGTGTTTTTGTTGCAACCTTTTAATTTCGACATTTTCATCGGTGGGGGATCTGCATGACCATGTCCTTTTTTTATTAACTTTGTTTCTTCTCGTTTGGCAGGATTTACCAGTATGGAGCGTCACCTAGGTATTCTTATTGCTGTAGTGCTTGTCATTGCACCGAGTATCACTCTAGCATCTGAACACGAGCTGACAGCGAAAGTATCTACCGGCAAAAAAATAAAGAATATAACTGTTGACACGGTTGTGGATTATATAATACACAAATATTCCACGGAGGACAGTGTTCTGTCATTTGAAGGCTATCAACATTTATTGGAAAGTTTGGATCTTGGAATGGTTGATAATGACCACAGCGAGAAAGCCCACTTAAAGGTCCCTGACCATGGAGATCATAGCGACTACGGTGATCATAATGATCTCGACGAACATGGTGATCATACTGATCATGACCACACCCACCATGGTGATCATACTGGTCATGATCACACCGACCATGGTGATCAAAGCGACCACGATGATCATACTGATCATGATCATACGGACAACGGTGATCATGGTGACCATGGTGATCTTAATGATCACGACGAACATGGTGATCACGACAACCATGGTGATCACGATGACGATAGTGATTTAACACGAAGTAAAAGAAGTTTGGACAAAGCTCTAGGACAATCTGATCAACGTGACTTTCGCAACACGGTATGTTTGTTTTGTGTACACATACTTTATAAATCAATCTTTTTTTAAAATCAAATGGTAATTTTCCCGATACGCGAAGACATAGACTGATAAGGGTTCTAAGATGTAATAGACTTGTTCTATCCTTCTTCCTGATCTAAGGTAGTGAATAATGCAAGTTCCTATTCAGAAAGAGGGGACGGGGGTTCCGTGATTTCTGCTTTTTGAAACTGAATACATATAAATATAAACTGCCCCCTAATCTCAACATTAAATATTTATATCTTAACCTTTCTTTCATATTTATTCGGCAATGTTCAGCGAGGCACCAGTCTCCATATGGTTATTGTGGGGACATTAATCCCCAAACGAAACAAACAAGCATGAAACTTTACCAAACTATATGACAAGGAATCGTTTAATAAAGCCTATATTATGCAATGGTTTATTGTCTTTTGGTATATACGTTTGTATAAGCATACAGATATCTACAGGAAATATGAAATATGGACGTAGTGCTCTTTTGGTTACAATTATTTTGAGAGAAACATCCTTTTGCGGAATTCAGTCAAGTTTAAGGAAACGCAAACTTTTGTATTGGTTTGATCAGTTTGCCATTGTTTCTGCCATATAGAAAGATAAAGGAATAAGACTTCTGCCAAGCTTAAGAAGAGATACTTGGTGCACTGAGTAAATGAAAAATATGGCAAATTTCGATAATTTCTTTTTTATTGTTACGATATTTTAAAGAATGACATGCATATTGATGTTAATAATATTTACTCATTAGTCTGGAATACGACTTAAGAAACTTCAGGAATATTCGGATTTAGACCCAAATATTCCACCATGGATAGTTCGGCAGCCTCAAGTAAATTAAGACTAACACAATAATGAAAATTCCGTACTCTCCCGGTTCAATACAAGAATATACCTCATGAAATGTCAGTAGTTACATAATGTCTATCTAAAAACGTGGGTGATAAACAGTTTAACATGTTTATATACTGCAGTGTTTGCGGCCAAAGGAGATTCTGCAGCTAATGCGGTTTACTGGCCATGCTTTGACGAAGGAACAGTTTATAGAGTTGTGTCCCCTGCTCATTGTTCAGCTCGATGGACACGTGTGTAGCCACTTACATGATCATCACCATGCGGATCCGCATGGTCACGAAGAGGCAAAAACCAATGTAAATTCTAAAAGTAAGTACACTGTTTGATAATATTAAACATAAAAAACATGAATTAGAAAGTTTCTAAATTGTGGTCACATTGACAATTATTGAGATGTTTTTGAATGTTCACGAATATTGTATCACAAAATGTGATTTCCCATTTGTTTGAGTTACAATGTATGCGGTATTGTATGCCCTTTATCTTCTTTTACAGCGAGGTAAATTTGCATTTTAGGTTCGGGTCATCACTGTCTGATGTAACTGTTTTATTTCAAAACTAGTGTTTAGATTCTGTTCTTTCGTTTACATTTTAAGTAAACTGATCAATATTCTTTATATATTCCAACCACTGCCATTATTATGAATTCACTGCGCTGGTTTTCCTATTCAATATTCCGTTTTTCTTATTACTGATTCTTTTCCTAAGCTTTCGTCTATTTTTAGTTTGAAACGGAGTAATTTTTAATCAGTTTAATTTGTTATTTTTCAAGTAGAGTTCATATTTTTGAGGAAATTTAGGTTTTAACGGCTATGTTTTTTGGTTGCAAGCCGAGGCGGCAAAGTTGCTAAAGGACGGCTATGTTCGAATAATTTCGCTACACTAATTAAACGTATATCAAACATTACCCAGTCAATGTTCTGATGCACTATGATATATCGGACGTGAAAACGTATTGAGTCGCCTTCCCGACCATGTGATTTTTCTCAAATATTATAATTTAATAATTTATAATTCTTAAAATCATCTGCATGCTAACATCCGAACCAACAAAAGTGATTCATATACGTTGGAAAAGGTTGTTTTATAAATGTTGTAAATAAAATACAAATATATATGCCTATGTGTTTGCACCCAAACTTCATTGCGAATACGATTATTTTTATCAACAACATTGACAAACCCCTATGCGTGTAGTCCCAGCAGGTAGGCCGTAATAATTGTACCTGTTGCCGCCAATGTATGATCGTAAAAGGCGACTAAATTTGGGATCTTTATCTTTGCTCTTCTTTCTAAAAAACTTTCTTCTTCCTAATGTCTCCCTTGACAATGCCTCACCTTGGCCTTTAGTTGAGCGTTCTCCCCTGTGAGGAAGGCTTTGGGTTCTGTCTCCTGGCCGAGACATACCAGAGTCTGTAAAAATGGTAGTTTCTACTCCTGCTTAAAGCTCGGGAGTGGGACGACTGGTTCGCCCCTTGTCAGTATAATGTGACCGGGTGGGGTGACCTGCTTGGTGTTTTCGACAGTATGTTTCAGTGAGGTAGCACTATAAAGTCGGCATCAGTTCCGCGCTATCACAAGGAGACAAACACGAACATATCGCAGCCTCCTAAAACACACACGCATACACTACACGCATGCATCCTGTACACAGGGGAGGCAGTCCTTAAATTACCATAGCTGCTGATAGGATGTTAAACAAACCAAACCAAACCAAACCCTATGCGTGTATTCAAATTTGATTTTGAGTTTATTTATTTGGTTTCATTTTGTTTAATAATAACAATAATAATAATGTTCAACATTTGATATAACACCCTATCCAGCTAACATAAGCCTCTCGAAAGCACTTTACAGTAGACAGATAATAGATATACAATTAATACAATTACCATATGCATTAATCAATACAATTTTGAGGAATTCGTAGGAGCTGCCTTATCAGGCGTTAACTACTAATCATATGCCACCTGGCTTATATCTCCCTGTGGGTGTTCTGGAGATGTGATGTGTTCTGTTTGTGGTGGGACCGTGCTTCTAACGGCATCATTTATAGTGCCACCTCACTTTAATGCTACAGCAGATACCGCAACATCCACCTCAGACCAATTTATACTCCACCTGGGTTGTTGGTATAACGTTCTATCAACAAATAAGGTCATTTAAGGACATGCCTCTATTTATGTCGTGTGTTCGAGGCAGGGGATGTTGGTGTAGTTGCCTCCTTGTGAAAGTGCTAATCTGATGCCGATTGTATAGTGCTATTTCACCGAAATACCATACCGAAGGCACCCAGCACAGAATTCCATACGATCACATTATAATACAACGGGTATACCAGTTGTTGCCATTCCTAAAAATGCTGAATGTTAAACAGGGAATAACAACTACCATTTCTAAGGACTTCCGTATGTCCCGACCTGGGGAAAGAATCCATGTCCTTCCTCACGTGGGCGAACGTTCAACATTAAAGCCAAAAAATGAGGTGATACCAAGGAAGGCGCTAGGAAATAAAAGGTAGTTAGAAGTAGAGAAAAATATAAAGATCCAAAATATTGCAATGAGTGCCGCAGATTTATTTTGGTCGCTTTTGTGTTCTTTTCAGGGATGATTATCGGGTGTTTACTGGGAGTATTAAAATTACTAATGACTGAAGGTACTCATGCGACAACCTTGATCAATGTCCCCTCAAAACCCAACCAACCTATCGGCAATTAAAAATTAATTATATATCTGAGCATGCTATGTGCAGATCGTATGAATAATTAATGTTTGGATAAACAAATTTAACCATTATTTTGTTTGTTTTGGTTTGATTTTACTTTGTTTGACGTCCTATTAACAGCTAAGTGCATTGTGAGGGTGATGCTTATCCGCGAGGCGAATATCTATTTTATTTTGTAAATACATGACCCAGAGCTATTTCAATTGATATCGACCTGAATGGACATTTTTCTGAAGATGTAGACTGTTTCAAACTGTGACTAAAGAAACTGGATAATGTTATTTGCCAAATGACAGAATATTAATGCTATTTCATGCTCTGCTGCGCGGACCGAAAAAAACATGTTCTTAAGTTGGAGAAAGCGATATGTTTGATGACATTTGTTATGAACATAAAGTCGTTATTTCATGCTCTACCGAGCGATGTGACAGAAAAAGACATCTGAAGGGGAGCAAGAATTGCCATTGGGAGAGAGCAAAAGATTTAGAAAGATATTTTTTCTGAAAACAACCACCAATCGCTCACTTTGACAAAGGGACCAGTCAAGCATTAACTTAGTTTATAGAACCTGTTACATGGTTTCGTACGCATTAAAACCGTTTACTTCTCACGTAGTATCTGTTACACGGCTAGGTTAACTTTGCACGTAGTTCGAAGTTAATGAAGCCACGTAACAGATGATTTATGTCAGACTGGAGGTAATCTACACTTCTACTGATTTGTTTAATAAGACCAGTTTCAAAATTAGTATGCATCCAAGTTTTACTTAGTTCTCAACCTAACTACGTGTTCCATGTGTCGCAAGGTGCCAATACAGCCTGTTACCTTTGTCAAGCTTAGACTAAGTGAGCGATTTGTATTTTTCAAAAATATCTGCCTTAATCTTCGGCTTCCTGGACTGTGAAGACAATCCTAACTCCTCTTTAGAATGTTTTTCTCTCATATAGCTTGATATGAAATGACGCCTTTATTTTCATAACAAATGTCTTCAAATATCTCAGGATTTAAGAACTACTTTCTCCATCTCAAGAAAAAACATTTGGTCCGCTCGGCAGAGCGTGAAATAGCAATAATCTTTAGAAGAATAGCTTAAAAAAACACCTACTTGCTCATGTTGGCACTTCTGCCACATTTTCCTGCTCCATCAGTCACAGCTTGAAACCGACTGCAGCCTACGTCTTCTTTAAATTGATCATTCCGCTGGAAAGAAATTAAAAGAGCTAAGGGTTAGTCTTTGCAAAAGAAGAGATATTCAACTCGGGGATTATAATTACCTTCACAAAGATTTCATTTATATATCCAAACATGTTTTATTTATACGACTTGCACATGACTTAACCAAATAATATTTTTAAAAGTAGTAGGGGGCAGGGTCCATGTTGTCGCATGAGCCCCTGAGTCATTAGTAACTGACAAATACTCCCCTATAATATTTGAATTCACGCAAAGTAGTTTGCCCATTTCCTTGTTTAAAAAGTCGCCATCTTAGAAATGCATATGTCAGTTTGGGTGCAAACACTTATACTTATAATTTATAAACTTTATTTGCCTAGATGTAAGCGCACGTAATATCGGATAAGTATTAACACTGGTGTTTCACAGGGATCTATTCTTTAGCCTTACTATTTAACAGATACGGAGACTAATCATTGATGAAACGGCTTTAATTATAGTTGTTAACTATCCTTTTTCTTTATGGCTTCTGTCTTGTGAATATAACTTTAAAGTCAACACAATTGTTATTGGTTTTACCGGAAAAAAATACAGGGTATAGTGCTTAGTTTGATATGTTTGCTCACTCTTTGCGCAATGTGCTCTTAACCAACCTTCAATTATTTATTGTTTCGTTAGACCGTTGAATCATAAATAAACAAATCAAACCAACCCAGTATCTTGAATACACTCCCAGTAATATTGAGAAATTAAACATTGTCTCTCTCCTTTGAGACTCTTATATCGACACGGAAAAGGATACATGTTTAATTGTACAATTGACGGTTTGGAACATCGAACAATCTTACTATGATCGCACTGTGATCTGTCAATATGCAAACATCGCAATGCCATGACCTATATGCTTAGAAATAAACAGGATTTTCTAGATATCAGGGGTTATCATAATATGTGACTTATGCCAATTAGAAAGTATGGGGACGGAATTCGTTTCAATTTACGTATCATTTTGATATTTTAGAGAGAAATGTAAAAACAAATGGCCAAGAGGGCCTGCATAACATACCTGGATATTTAAGCGATCATTGGAAAATATCCAGTAAAAGCAGCTTTGCAAATATTTCCACATGTTGAGTCTACTTGGACTAAGAAAGTTCCAGACTAAATTATTGAGATCACTTAATCTGAACTGAAGGATGAATTTAAAGATTTTTCTCTGGTTATCTCTTTTAAGCCCCGCCCTACTGCACTTTTGGGAGCCAGACCCTCTTTCTATACAACGTTGAGTCTCTGAAGGAATATGATTTTTCAAATAGTAACCGATATTATTTCCCATACTGGGCGTCGGCCCTATGTCCTTAAGAAGAGCCACATCTTCAATTGATACAGTTTCAGGTTCATTTTGTTATTG